AGTTTGTGCGTGCGAAGAAATGTCTTTGCCATGCCTGGTATAAATAAGCATGTGAACAACTCTACCAGCAATGGGTAGGTAACTCACTTAAAACAAACCAACAAAAAAGTTTGCCTAATTGATAAACCAAAAAAATGATTCTTTGCTTATTAATGGATTTTCCACATATGCTTTTAAATTTCTTTGTGAACAATATAGATACTTTGCCTTTTTAGCTAGTGTGTCTTCATGCCTTTTCTAGTTGATTTGCCTGAAATCACGTTTTTTTAAAATTTAAATTTAAATTCAATTTAGTTAATATATAGTATGTTGTTAGTTTCAAGCAGAGTTTAGTGATTCATCGGTTGCATGTAACACTCAGTGCTCATTCCATCAAACGCCTCCTTATTGCCCATCGCCCAAGTTACTCCGTCCCCTGACCCACCTCCCTTCCAGCAACCTGTTTCTTTCCTATGGTTAAGAGTCTCTTCTAGTTTGCCTCCCTCTCTATGTTTATCTTAATTTTTCCTTCCCTTCCCCTTTGTCCATTTTTTTGTTTCTTAAATTCCACAGGAATGAAATCATATGGTGTGTGTCTTTCTCCGGCAGACTTATTTCACTTGGCTTAATACCCTTTAGTTTTATCTATGTTGTTGCAAGTTGCAAGAGTTCATTCTTTTTGATGGCTGAGTAACATTCCACTGTATATATACACCACAGTTTCTTTATCCATTACCTATTGATGGACATCTGGGCTCTTCCCTTAGTTTTTAAAGTAGGCACTTCTGAAGGATGAATGTTTTTCATTTTAAAGTAATACTTGGCTCATTAAAGATAACTCCTATTTTATAGAGAGGTAGAACTCTCTTCCCTTTGCCCCCACAATGTCCCATACACCATGAACACCATTTTCTTATAATTTAAAAATAATTACTAGATTCATGAAAGTGGCTGCCTCTGGGGAGTAGTGGGGAAAGGTCTAGTTTTCACAGTACCTCTGCGTTTTCACTTTTCTACCCATGTGACTGTATCACTTATTACAAGACGTTTAGTTTTCACAGAGCTATGATCACTCCATGTGTGCAATAGTACAGCTCCTATCCCCCATCCCTGCCTTACTCCTGCGCCCTGCTGTCTTACCTCCTCATCTGTTAGCACCTCATTAACAGCTGTGCCACAGCTTTCCACGTGGGGCCCTCCTCTGCCATTTGAATGTTTGACTTAGTTCTGATTTCTCGTAGTTGTAAATGATATTGCAGTGAACATGGTGGTGCTTAAATGTTTTTCCAGATTTAGGATTCTTTCCCTCAGATAGGTTTTGCCAAAGGCGAATCACTGGGTCAGGATGGGTATGATTATTGTAAGGTTCTTTTTTTTTTTTAAAGATTTTATTTATTTATTTGACAGACAGAGATCACAAGTAGGCAGAGAGGCAGGCAGAGAGAGAGGAAGGGAAGCAGGCTCCCCGCTGAGCAGAGAGCCCGATGTGGGTCTCGATCCCAGGACCCTGGGATCATGACCCGAGCCGAAGGCAGTGGCTTTTACCCACTGAGCCACGCAGGCGCCCCCATTTATTTCGTTTTTTAGGAGGTTGAACATTTCCCTCTAAGTTTGTTAAGCAATTACATTTTTCCTGTCTTTGCATGATCTTTGTGGTCTTAATATCTTTCTATCAATTTAAATAATCTCTTTATATAATAAATATTTTTATACAGTTCAATCCTGTGTTCCAAGAATACAAAATCTAAACTTCTCTAAATAGTGTTTTATTTTCAAATCTATTTTAACTACTCTTGAATTGACTTTGATATATTGTGTGAAGTAATCAAAATTACCCATTCTTAATTGCTCCAACCTCAATTATTAGTAAATGACTCATAGTCATAATACATTATTATATAGTGTAGGATCTATTATCTGGACCATCTACATTGTTTCATTGACTTGTCCTATTTTATTTTTGATCTATGTTCTTCTTAATTTTTATAGCCTTATATTTGGGCTTTCTATCGTACCTTTAAAAAGTATGTTTATATATATGCATATTGATATGAAAAATACATAATTGTATTCTTCTGGATGAAAATTTATGTTTATCAATTAAAAAGTCGAATTTATAAGTACATGAATTTGTAAGTACACTAGAGGAAAAAAAATTGTTACCTTTTAATCTTAGCATCCTGGAACATACTGTCCTTTCAATCAAAGTTTAGTTTACTTCTCATCAGTACAAGTTTTCTGTAGTCATTCCTACATACTGTTGCAGTGAGGGTTTCCTTGTGTGTGGTTTTTCTTTTTTGTTATGGTTCTCATTTATAAAAGCCAGTGTTCCGGGATTGGGGTCACTTCAGTGTTGCCCCACTGCATGTACCCAAGCCAGCCAAACCCGAGTTCCACAAGCAGTTGGGGGCCACGGATGCTGCTGAAATGTTGATGTAAGCCGGAGACCCTTTCTCCAGGGAATCTGAAAAGCCTAGCAGTGTGCATGGTGTGTGTGTGTGTGTGTGTGTGTACGTGTGTGTGTACGTGTACCCACACACATACTTACGAACATGACCTTGGTGCACCAGCCATGTCGCCACATTAGCTTCACACTTCCAGTTGGGAAGCTCTGGGTTCGGTGCTGATGCACGGGCCATCAGGTCTCCTACAGGTGTGATCTTGCAGGAGGAAAAAAGTAGAGGACCACTGCCTGGCACCTGGCCCGCTTCAGCCTCTCAGGTAAAATGTTAGGCTTGGAATAGAGAGAAGGGAGCTGGGCTGCGAGAATCCGCCCCATGAGGCGTACGTCAGGGAGCCAGGTGGGCAGGAAGTGGGAAGTCACGAAGAGGAAGCGGGATAATCCTCAACAAAGCACCTCTTGTCACATGATCTTTGACTTTTCAAGAGATGCTGGAATGCTCAGTTTTTATGTGATGTCTCCCAATATTTTAATTAAAGCAACTAATTAAAAAAATCCACTCAGGACCATAAAACACTTGTGGGCTATGTCTGGTCCATAGGTCCTATTGTGAGGCGTCTGAATCACTAGGGGCCAGATCTGCTGCTGACTGGGTAGGGATTTAGAGTGGATAGACTGGGAGGGGCAGTCATTTGCTCAACAGCACACATGCAGAAATCAGTGGTATCATAACCAACTCCAAGTCAGGCCCAAGTGAGTCCCGAGCCATGCTATTACCTAGCCCATGGTTTAAAGGAAGAGATCATGTTGAGTGAAATAAGTCAAGCAGAGAGAGTCCATTATCCTATGGTTTCACTTATTTGTGGAGCATAACAAATAGCATGGAAGACATGGGGAGATGGAGAGAAGGGAGCTGAGGGAAATTGGAAGGGGAGGTGAACCATGAGAGACTGTGGACTCTGAAAAACAACCTGAGGGTCTTGAAGGGGCGGGGGTGGGAGGTTGGGGGAACAAGGTGGTGGGTATTAGGGAGGGCACGGATTGCATGGAGCACTGGGTGTAGTGCAAAAACAATGAGTACTGTTACGCTGAAAAGAAATTGAATGAATGAATGAATGAATGAATGAAGGCAGTGTTTCTCAGCCAGTGTGTGGCCCCTGGAGCAGCAGGATCCTGTTACCTGATGTACTAGACTAGTGACGGCCCAAGAGATCAGGTCCTAATCCCTGGAACTTTTAAATGTTGCCTTATTTGGAAAAGGGGGCTTTTCAGAGGTGATTGAGGAGTCTGAGATGAAGACATTATCTGGGTTGGCCCTAAATGCCACTAACATATCCTTATAAGCAAGCAGAATGAGATCGATCTCTCTTTCTTTCTCTCTCTCACACACACATGCAAAATTTTAAGACTAGAATGATTCAGCCACAAAACAAGAACACCAGCAGCTGAAGAGGCAAGGAAGGACTGTTCCCTAGAGGCTCCAGATTACGGCCTTGCTGACATCTTGTTTCAGCCACCAGGTTTGTGGCAATTTGTTAAAGCAGTCCCAGGAAGCGAATGTATCTAGGAACATCTTAGAAATTCTGAGGCTCCCTCCCAGACCTGCTGAACAGGAGATTCTGGGAATGGGGCTTAGCACCCTGTTTTAACAAGCCCTCCAAGGGCTCTGTTGAAAACTGAAGTTCCAAAAACACTGGCTTAAGGCAAGGCCTGAAAAAACAGGGACCAGGCATTTTGTGCAAATGTGATTTGGGGCCTGCGGCAGAACTGGAGGTGAGTTTGACCTAAAGGCATTCATGCATCTGCATGAAGTGCTTGACCCCCACAGACATATGAGCTTTTCAACCTTGTCCCAAACCAGTATTTCTCGAACTTCAGTGTACAATAAAGAGAAAGGTAATAAGCAAAACAAGGTGGTATGTGCTACAAAGAAAAAGATGGTAAATGGGCAGAGGGAGTGCCAGTGGGTAGGGCCAGTTTTAGACTGGGTGGTCCAGGAAAAGCTTTCTGAAGAGGTGACCTTATGAGAAGGCAGCCAAGGAACATTAGGGAGGAGAGGGTTCTGGGCAGAGGAAACAGCATGAGCAAAGATCCTGAGGTCAGAAAATAGCTTAATGTTCGGAGGAAGTGCTGGGAGAGCAGTGTCACAACCCGCTCGAGGAACTAAATGTGTCCCATGTGACTCTGGAGAGGAATCCTGAAAGCTTGTGCCTGGCTTTCTCCAGACCTCACCCCATGCGCCTCTTTGCAGGTTTTGCTTTCTATACTGTTGCTATAACTCTCAGCCATAAGTATGACTATATGCACAGTCCTTTGTGTCCTCTTACTGAGTCACCAAACCTGGGTGTGGTTTTGGGAACCCCTGAGGCATATCCCCATGACTAATGTACATGATGTCTTAGACCTCCCAGGGTGAAGGAAATCTGAAGGTTCCACGTGCATAGTATGTTTTATTAAGAACCGCTGGAAGTCAGTTGCCACAAAGGTCTTCCTCACCCTCACTGTATGCGTAGGATTTCTCCCTGGTATGGATCCTCCGATGTACTTTAAGGGATGAATCACAACTAAAGGCTTTTAGACATTCCTTACACTCATGGGGTGTCTTGATGCTGTGGGTCCACTGGTGCTTGGTTAGAGAGGAGCGGTACCTGAAGGCGTCCCCGCACTGCTTACACGTGGAGGGGCTCTCCCCAGTATGAGTTCTCTGATGGAGGCTGAGGGAGGAGCTGTAGCAGAAAGTCTTCTCACAGTCACTGCATTTGTAGCGTTTCTCTCCTGTGTGGGTTTTCCACTGCTCGATGAGGGAGGACCTGTACCGGAAGGGTTTCCTGCAGTTGGGACACTTATAGGGGTTCTTGCCTGTATGAGTTCTCTGGTGGAGATTAAGGGATGAGGCCCAGCTAAAGGCCTTTCCACATTCACTGCATCTGTAAGGTTTCTTCCCACTGTGGATCCTCCGGTGCTGGCTGAAGAATGGCTGATCACTAAAGGCCTTCCCACACTCATTGCACTGATAGGGTTTCTCGCCAATGTGAATCCTCTAATGGGAGAGGAGGGCTGAGCGTTTGCTGAAGCCTTTCCCACATTTGTTACAGAGAAATGGCTTCCTGCCACTGTGGGTGATCTGGTGCTCCTGGAGGGAGGAGCTCCACCTGAAAGCTTTGTCACAGTCCTCACACTTGTATGGTTTCTCTCCAGAATGAATTCTTTGATGCTGAGTAAGGTTTGCCCTCTGGCTGAAGGCCCTTGTGCACTCACTGCATTCATAGGGTCTCTCCCCTGTGTGGATCCGCCAGTGCTGAGTAAGGTAGAACTTGGAGCTGAAGGCTCTCCCACACTCAGGACATCTATAGCCTTTCTTCTCTGTGAAGCTGCTCAGAGATCCCACCAGGATTGGCATCTCGGAGAGGCTGTTCTCTCTGCAGGGCTTTATGAAGTTCATGTCCCAAAGTCCTTTCTTTTGGGGTGACTCTTCAGAGATGTTATGCTTTGAAGGTATCCTGTTGTCAGGCCCAGTGCCCCAGTCTGAAATAAAGTTTTCAAAACTGCAAATTCCTGTAAGGTGTGAGACAATGCTCCATTACCCATTGTGACTATCAGTCTTACTTGTCAGCCCGACCATGCTCTAGTCCCCAGCGATCTCAATCAAATACAAATCCAAGTGTTGGTTAGCATTTTTAAAAAACATTTTATTTATTTATTTATTTGACAAAGAGAGACAGTGAGAGAGGGGACACAAGTACGGGAGTGGGAGAGGGAGAAGCAGGCTCTCTGCCGAGCAGGGAGCCCAATGTGGAGCTCGATCCCAGGACCCTGGGATCATGACCTGAGCCGAAGGCAGATGCCTAACGACTGAGCCACCCAGGTGCCCCATGTTGGTTAGCATTTACAATCACTTCAGGTAAAGGAAATTATCTATGATCATGTAGGTGGGCCTCACCCAATCAGTTGAAGGCCTGAAGAGCAAAAACAGGCTTCATAGAGGAAATTTTGCCTTAAGACAGCAGCATCAACTCCTGCTTGTTTCCAGCCTGCTGGGCAGCCCCACACATTGTGTACACACCAGCCCCACAAATGTGTGAGTCATTTCTTAAAGTAAATCCCTCAATATATAGTTTATTGGTTCTGTTTTTCTGGAGAATTCTGAGTGATGTATCATCTCTCTAATGAGGCTTGACACCTGGGGCCAGGCTGGGTTAAGGGGGAAGCATGCACAGATTACAGAATCGGGGAAAGCAGAATTGACCGACAGAGGAAAGAAACATGTCAAGGATGAATCCAGCTCATCTGGGAAGATGAGAACCTGGAAAGGGCAGACCATGACACTGGGGCCTCAGAAGCCCACGTGGGCTGGAGTGAGCCCTCACTACCTCGCAGCCTGGTCTCCGCAGCTGGGGCACATGCACACTCAATTTTAGGCTGTTGCTGTTCTTCAGTGAGTCATGGAACTAAGTCAGGTTCCCTACCTTGGCACCAGTGACATTTTGGGCCAGGCAGTTCTCTTGTGGGGTATTGCAAGATGGCAGGCAGCATCCCTGGCCACTTCCCCTCTGCACCACAGCGCCCTCTCAGCTGGGACGACCAAAAAATCTTCAGACATTGCTACATGTCCCCTCAGGGCAAAACCACTCTGGGTTGAGACCACGGCTTTAGTAGGTTGTGACAAGAAGTTTTAAACAACGGGATAGAATAGAGCAACAGTGCACTGTGTATAGTAAGGACAAATATCACTTCATACTATTTGTTTTTTAATTAATTTATTTATTATTTAAAGATTTTATTTATTTATTTGACAGAGATCACAAGTAGGCAGAGAGGCAGGCAGAGAGAGAGAAAGGAGGAAGCAGGCTCCCTGCCAAGCAGAGAGCCTGATGCAGGGCTCAATCCCAGGACCCTGAGATCATGACCTGAGCCGAAGGCAGAGGCTTAACCCACTGAGCCACCCAGGTGCCCCACTTTATACAATTTTTATTTCATTTATGTCTCATGGATACAAAGCATGTGCCGTGGGCTGTGATGTAAAATGTACCTTTTACCAGGGTTGTGGGAGAAAGAAGTCTGAGGCATACAGACATGGGGCAGTCAGTTCCATCACAGGGACTGAGCAAGACAGAGCCAGAAAGAAGGCAGAGAGAGGTGGAGGCAGAGGCAGAAACAGGCTTTAAACTGAACTGAGATGTCGACAGTACGTTCTCTGTGGGCACCCTTCAATGGGACCCCGTTGACTGCGCCCTTGTCGATCCTCCTTTGGGCTCTCCTCCCCCCCACACATCCCAGCCAAACACTGGCACATACTGAGTGTTCAACAGGAGTCAGCTACCTATAATGGCTAAACCAAGCGTGGCCAATTAAAAAGCTCGGTCCCCTGGCCTCCAGCTGGCTTAAGAAAGAGAACAGATATGGTCTGATGGCACTAGGGCCTGCAACTTCCGTTAGAACTTCTGGGAAAGAAAGCCTTCTGCCCTGCTGGGACCAGTGTGTCACTGAACCCATTGCTGCCAGAAACAGAAGGGGCCAGCCCAGGAGTGGAACCAAGAGAGGAAGAAACAGAACTGAGAAACACAGAGTGGGAGCCTATAGAGGACCAAAGAGACAAAGGCCAGGAAGTAACACTTGAGCTCCTGGATCCAGCCATGCCTGAAGTCTGAGTTACCCTTAACTTTTCCATTATGTTCATACAGAGAGGTGGACACTTCAGGGGAAGGAGTGTGGGAGGACCCTCAGAGGCACTGAATGGCTGAGCCCCAACCCAACACAGTGCTGACATTCCTGATGCCCCTTGGCTTCTATGCAATAAGGTGGGGTCTGAGTTCACGGATAAGTCACTGTCCTTATCCAGTGAGACCAGGTTCCTGTAGTTCTCCAACATGACGTCCCAGTACAGCGCCTTCTGGCCAGGACTCAGCTGCCCCCACTCCTCCTGGGAGAAGTCTATCGCCACATCCTGGAACGCAATTAGCTCCTTGACAAGGGCACAGCATGACTAGCCCTTCACGTGGCCATAGGGTAAGGGGGCCTGGGGTCGGGAGGGAAGTCAAACAAGAAAAGAGTGGGTTGGGCTGGGTCAAGGACTCACCAGTGTGGCTGAGGTTGCATGTGGTGGTCCAAGAGCTAGAAGAGCCCACAGACTGCTGAAGTCTGATTCCCGTGGGGCTCTACAGGGAAACTGCAATGCATTCAGTGTGACAAAGATTTACTGAGGTCACCTACGGCTGGGCACCTTTCTAGGCACTGGGGATACAGACCAAAACCCTGCCCTGGTGAGTCCCACATTCCAGTCAGGCTTGGACAATAAACCAGCCGAACAGCATGTCAGATGGTGCTAAGTGCTACAGAGAAAAACAGGCAGGCGGGGACAAGAGTGATGGGACATTAGGTACCAACTAGAGTGGTCAGGAGAGACTTCACAGGGCAGTGACTCTGGACAAAGACCCAAGGGAAGTGAAGAGGTCTGTGCCACGTGGCTATTGGAAGGTGCCAATATTTTACTGGCACTGCCGATAATTTAAAACATGGATATTCGTACAAAAATCCAAATACCAGTCTTGAAAAACAGGAAGCTTTTACATTGCAAAGCCTGGATTCCTGTAGTGACAACAGGCTGGAGCCTGGTCACAGTCGCCCCTGTAGATGGGCTCAGTTTCCCACTGTGACTCCCCAACTCTGGGGTCTCAAACTCAAGTGCCTATGGGGGGGCTAGCGAGGTAGTGGGAATGAATGAAGTGGGCTGCCCGAATGCTTACAGTTGTCCTGAAACGCACGGCCCTCCTTCATCCTGCTTCCATTTCTCCCTTTCCTGAGGGAAGTAACTCTGCTGACACAGGATTCAGTTGCTGGGGACTGCGGCAAACTAGAAATCTTGTATCCAAAGGGGGCGCCCCCGCCTCAGCCCAGCTAGCAGTTGTCATGGACCGCCACGGCCTAGTGGGCTACCTCTGACCCTGCCTGGTGCACTCACAGGTCTCCCGCAGCACTTACCACCCCTGAATGACCAGGCTGGTGTCTTTGTTGAGTGTCCCCCACATCGTTCCTGGTCTCCACCCAAGCAGGGACCTCGTCAGTCTCAAAAGGACTGCATCCCGGTGCCTCCAGGGTGCCCCGAACCCAGGAGGCCCGCAGATATCCGCCGACTAACACGTGGAGCACACCCGCTGCTGCCAGGACCGCACTGGGTGCTCCACACCCAACCAGGAGCGATGTCCTGCCTTTCAGAACCCAGTGGCCCTCCCAGGCGAGACCAGCGAAGACTGACTGACCCGGGGCCTCGCAGTCACAAGCCCGAGAACCATGCCCTCCTCCGCAAAGAACCTCTCCTGGCGGAGGCCTGAGATCCGAGCTGGGGGGAGGAGGAAAGAGTGGTGAGAGAGGAGGCCCAGCTGGGCCATCACACCAGCCCCTCCTCCGGGACCCGAAAGGACCACATCCCTCGTCAGAGCTGGAGGAATGCGGTAAGTGGCACTGTTTCCTGCAGCCCGATCTAAGCTGAGAACTCAAACTCTGGAAACAAGGTACCTGGGTTTGCATCCCACCTATGACCCACTAACTGTATGGCCTTGGACAAGTTCCAGGACCTCTCTCCGAGACTCAGTTTCCTTACTTGAGAAATGGGGATAGAATGGTATCTACCTGTAGGACATGGTGACAGCGTTACTGTGGCGGATGGTATCAGTGCCCCCAGTCCTTCACGCTCCCTGTAGATATACCCTTGGCCATGTACCTCTGAGGCGACCTGTCGCCTTAAGTGTGGTGTCTGTCCCCACCTCTTGACATCAGGTCTGGCCTTGTAACCCGGGTCGGCCGGTGGTGGCCCTCATCTGCTCACCCCTCACCGTCCTGCTGTTCCTCCAGGATCCAGGCTCATTCCTGCTTCAGCGCCTCTGTCCTCGCCCCTCCCTCTGCCGACAACACTCGTCCTCCCACGTCTCCTCCAGGTCGTTCTCACCGTGCAGGGCTGAGCCTAGACCTCCGTCCTCAGAGGGTGTTTGTACCGGCCCAAACTCAGGGAGCGGACCCAGCCCCTGCGACCCCCGCCCTACCGCCCTCTAGTGTTTCCTCCCGAGCATTTATCAGTGACGGGCGCTATTTCACGGTGTTCCCGGCAGAATGCAAGTTCCATCACAAGCCGCACCACCCAGGAACAAAATTCCACAGGCATCCCCAAGAAATCTCATGCCCAAGGGACAACGACACTTACAGGTGAACGCAGCACGCGGGCTCAGCACAGTGTGGCCACCTGTTGGGGACACTTGTTCTACTTGCGCACAAACACAACCACACGCACATTGTTCGATTCCTCAGGCAAGTGCCCGGAAGCCCTTCCCACAGGGACGTCCAGCATGGCCCAGGGACACGAACCACAACAGCCACACCAACTCGCCCTCCACGTACGCCCCTCCCGCACAAAACCACACACAGAAGCCAAACTCCATTACCACAGCCACGGGAGTCACACAGGACTGGGCTCCCCGTCGCTCTAACGTCCCCACTCAGTCACATACGATCCCTTAAATGACAAACTACCATAGACCCTCGTGACACACAGGTCTGCATTCAGTCACACAGACCCTCGGACGAGGACAAACTCACACTCACACACCAGGCCCTTCCACACTCAACATGCACACCCAGCCTCAGGCAGGCCGCGGACACTCCCAGACAACACCACACACACACACACACACACACACCCGCTTGAGAAGCAACTTCAGACACTCACGTAACCCCACCTGACAGCAAATCTTCCTCGGCAACGCCCCGCGCTTGCACGCGCACACGCACCGCCTCACACTCCGCTCACGGGGCCCCGGCGCTCACCCCAGCAACCCGCAGAGACGCCTCACCACGCGGACGTCGCCGCATCAGACACACTCGACATGCCCTCGTCACACACACACTCCCACCGAGTCACGGATCACAAAGTCACACTCAGCAAGAGACACACGCACAGACCTACACTCGCTCGCCCGTCGCGCGCGCGCTCCACACCGCCGTTGAGCTGGAGCCCAGACGCGTCCCTGCCGGAAGCGGAAGCGCTCCCAGCGCCCGGGCGCAGAGCTCTCTGGGAGTTGTGGTCCAGAGACCGGCGCTCCGGTGTACGTCCGGGTGGCGCTGGGGCTCCATCCTTCCTGGGTTCAACTCCGCTCCTGTGAGAAGGAGGAACCAGCTCCGCAGAGCAGATACTCCCTGTCTCCCAAGTGAGAGCCCTAGTCTGAGAAACAGGAACTAGCCCCAGAGAGCGGATACTCCCTGTCTCCGAAGTGGGGAGTAATACCCCACAAATGATGAGGCACCGGAAGGCAATAAGAGGGGAAAGGACGATGCTGCCCAAAGAGGCGGCTTGGGAACGTCTCTGCATCTTCAGGAGATGACATTTGAAGCGCGTTTCAAGCGCGGGCAGTAGCAGCAATGCTCCAGCTCGGCAAGGGCATACCGGGCTGAGGAAGGAGCCAGTGCAAAGGCCCTGAGACAGGGTGAAGGTTGATGTGTTTGAAGAACCGAGGTAACGCCCGCATAGCTCGGAGTGAAAGATGAAGGGGTGGGTGCAGGGGAGGAGGCCGGAGAGCCCCAGGCAGTGGACGGGCACTGAAGGGCCGCAACAGGGGGATGGCGCGGCCCGATTTGTGCGTTCACAGGAGCCCGTGGCTGCTGGGTGGAGGGTGAGTTTGGGAAGCCAAGAGTGAAGGCAGGGAGATCGGAGAGGAGGCCGTTGCAGTGGCCCAGACAGAGATGATGGTGTGCCGGGGGACGGTGGTGGCCGTGGGCATGGTGTGACGTGGGTGGGTTTCAACCTGCACTGGGGGACATGCTGGACGTGGAGTGTAATGGGAAGAGGAGGGGGTAAGAGAGAAGCCAAAATGCCTGCCGGGTTTCTGCCCTGAGTGCCACGGGGTGGGTGCAACCTGGGAAGGCGCAGGCGTGGAGGAGGACAGAAAGTGCCTGCACGTGTGCTCGGTTTGAAGTCCTTGCTGCGCATTCACTCATGTGGTTTAACGTCAGTGTAGTCACTCACTAACCATCTACTTTTGAGTTTTGGTCCTGGGACAGCTGCGTGCTGGAGCAGGCTGGGACGTCGCACAAGAGTCCACTTTAAATGTTCAGAAATGATGCAGATCGGTTGTTAGGCTGCGGACTCCTAGTTTGACATCAGCTGTGGTGAGATTACTTAGGCCATGGCAGTTGGCAAGTGCTAGAGTATTTTTCTCCAGAGAGCTGGCTTTCCAGGGCGCCGTTGGATAATAGGAAACAAACACGTGATCACCTTCATTCAGCTTTCATTCTGGTGTGTGGGGGACAGATCTGTAAACAGATAACTAAACAATTTACTGAAACTGCGGTGTGTATTTTGGAGAAATGGGAGTTCTGAGAGCATAGAAGGAAAATGACTTAGGTTGAGCCAGGAGGGGTGGTCAGGAAGTGGTATCTGAGCTGTGATCTGAAGGCTGAGCAGCACGCTCTCGCTCTCGTGTGTTTCATTGAGAAGGTGTCATCGTTGATCGGCGGTGTCTTTTTCGTTCTTAGCGGAGTGTAAAATAAGAGTCTGTCTTCCAGTCAGTCGTGGTTTGGATTCAGCTGCACTTACTAATCTGATTAGGGGAGGGTTGTTTGAGCTGGGTTTGTGGAGCCCAAAGAGGCATGCAGGTGTGGCACAAGTGAGTGTGGGGAAGGGGCTAAGAAGCCATTAAGTGCTCAGAAGGCCCAGCCCTCTGACTCCAGCTAACGCCACAGCCACTCCGGCTCTTGTTTTTTGTTGCTTTGCGTCACATTTGTTTATTCAGAGAAATACATACAGAACACCCAGTGCATGCCAGACAGTATGCTGCACACCGGGGCCACAGCACGCAGAAGGCAGCGCCACTCTCATGGAGGTTATATCTGGAAGGTGGGGTGGGGATTTGAGGCAGAACAAACAAACTGAATAATCTAGGTAACTACAGGCGGCGAGAAATGCAAGTAGGAAGTAAAACAAAACGAGGGCATTGAGAGTGACCAGGAGGTGAGCTGCTTTGGATGGGAGGGTTGTGGAGGCTCCTTTTCTCTTTTTGGACAATTTGGACAATAACTCCCAAGGGTTATGCATTTGATCAAGAGGCTGGTATCCTCAAGGATATGTTCGTAGCACAGCAACGGTTTCCTAAAACCTCCCCACAAAATGTCTTAACAAAGTAAGGTTGCTTTAAGAAAAAAAAAAAAGATTTATTAATTTATTTTTAGAGAGGTGGGGGCAGAGGGAGAAGGAGAAAGAATCTTAAGCAGGCTCCATGCCCCGCATGAAGCCTGATGCGGGGTTTGATCCCATGACCTGAGCCGAAATCGAGAGTCAGACACTTAATTGACTGCACCACCCAGGCGCCCCAAGGTGTTTAAAGTCAAAGAGAAATACAGCCTAATTTTTATCATTCAAAAATAGAACCCTGAGTGCTTCTGGAGTAAAAATATTGATCCTTTCTTCACCCTCTTAACTTTGGGTAAATTGCCTAATCTATCTGTATTTTATTTTCCTTGTCTGCAAAGTGAAGAGAATTACAAGCACATCACAGAAGTCTTTCAAATGTTAGAGATAGGGCATATAAAAGTGACTAGTAAAGATGGTCTGGGAACAAAAGAGGAATTGGAAGTATGATGATAGGATGGAGTAAAAAGATAGATGGTCACTCATCAAAAGAGTGGATATGGAGGAATGATTAAAAAATAGGAACTGTTCTCAAAAAATAAAAATAAATTTAAAAAATTAAAAAAAAAAGAACTGTTCTTTCCTTCTTTCTAGAGTTTTATCTCAGTGCATGGCAACCCAGCTGGAGACAACATTTCCTAGCCCCAGTGGGTCAGCATGGCCGTGTGACTAAGCACTAGCCAATGAGGTATCAGCAGAAGTGACATGTGCAACTTCTGGTTTACATCTTAAAAGCATGTTGCTTTCCCTCTATTTCCTCTCTGTTCCTTCCTGAAGACGGATTGTGAATGAGGTGCTGGTGAGCTCTCTCTCACCTTGTGGATAAGGAGAACTTAGGCAATGGTAGAGCAATGAGACAGGAGGAACCTGGTCTCAGGACGACTTTGTGGCACAGAGACACCAGGATTACCTCAAGCACAGATGTTTAAACGAAAGAGAACTAAGCCTTCTGTATCATTTAACCCATTGTTTGTTGTTTTCTATGAAAGCAACTGAACCAAAAATCCAGCTCATACAAGGCTACCAGGTAAACATGGTAGAAAGATGAAAATGCCTTTGACATTCCCTTGGGAAGGAGTCACATGAAGATGACGCAGTATATATGGACAAGTCCAAAATAGCCCATTTTTCTTCTAGAATATTTGCTGCTTCTTCTGATGAAGTCATTGGTTTGCATTCAGGACAGGCATTAGATGAAAAATGTCTACCGCTAACCATGAAGCACGTTGAGTAGGCCAAGGTGTGCCCACCTGCAGAAGGCCCATGGAAACTGAAAGAGAGGTCTCCTATTGGACTCTCTGGGACATAGGGTCATCGAAGGGGCTCTTGGATGGAATGATCCCCGCTATTTAAATTATTGACTCCCTGTCCCTCCATCTTCCCCTGTGTACCTATAGTACCATTTGCCTATATTAACTGCACATCGGATATATCTCTAGCTTACCTGGACATCTACTAGGTAGATGCATGGCTCATTGTCATCCAACTTGGCTGTCGACTTTTTGGCTACAGGTGTGCTCCTTGTGGTGTCCAGAGGCACTAGCACCTCTACCGTGGCCACAGGGACCTCCTGTGAGGGTGGATTGCTGGGTGCCTCCCATGTCCAGATGCCAAGTCCTAAAATGGCCCCCGAGGATAAAGCTTCAGCAGGGCTCCCTTCATGTCCTTGTTCCTCAGGCTGTAGATAAGTGGATTCAGGGTGGGCGTGAGGACAGAGTAGAAGACAGCTGCCACAAGGCCTTGCGTTGGGGAGTAGCTGGTGCGGGGCTGCATGTAGGCAGAGCTGCCGGAGCCATAAAACAGGAGCACAGTGGCCAGGTGGGAGGAGCAGGTGGACAGGGACTTCCAGCGGCCGGCGGTGGAGTGGATCTGACACACGGTGGCCAAGATGCGGACGTAGGACAAGACAGTGAGGCCGAAGCAGCTCATGATGACGCAGCCGCTGACTGCAAATCCTGCAGCCTCGTGGGCATCTGCATTGGCACAGGCTAGCCGCATGAGTGCGGGGATGTCGCAGAAGAAGTGGTCGATCATGTTGGGGCCGCAAAACGGCAGGGAGAAGGTGTTGGCTGTGTGGAAGGCCGAGAAAACGAGCCCACTGCCCCAGGCCACTGACACCAGGGAGACGCAGGTCTCAGGGCTCATGGTGGCTCTGTACAACAGGGGCCTGTAGATGGCCAGACAACGATCGAAAGCCATGGAGGTGATGAGAAAACACTCCGTGGACCCAAGGCAGACAAAGGCAAAGAGCTGGGATGCACATGCATGGAGGGAGATGTCTCTGGAGCCCAGCGCGGTGGCCACCAGGGCCCGGGGGAGGGTGGTGGACACGGAGCAGATATCCACCAAAGAGAGGTGTTTGAGGAAGAAGTACATGGGCGTGTGCAGGTGCGCATCCTGGGTCACGGCGGCCACGATAGCCACGTTCCCCAGAATGGCAGCCAGGTAAATGAGAAGGAAAGAGGCGGCGCCGAGCAACTGTAACTCCGGGACCGTGGAGAAGCCCCGAAGGAGGAAGACGGAGACTGCTGTGAGATTGGGCATGGTCGGCCTTTGGAAGAAGTCCTCAACTGCAGAGGCCGCTCAGGGAGGGCCTGAGTGGGGAATGAGGAGACAATAGCAAAGACCTAGGAGGAAAGGAAGGGGAGGTGAGCTGCGTCTGAATTAAATGCACATGCACGGTCTTCCCTGGTGGTCTCAAACCCCAGATACTTACGGAGGCCGGCAGATGCATACATCTGGGAATCTGGTGGAGTGTCATGGGGTGGGGGTGGGGGAAGCGTACAGAATGTTCTGTTCAAAAGAGACAGCTGCTCTGAGCTCGTGCCAGCTGTCGGGGAACCAAGCACTGCCAGATCCTCTGATATTTGCCAAGAAAAGTCAGAATTCCAGGTTGTTTTTTCAATGTGAAATTTCCTGAGGCACCTGGGTGGCTCAGTCATTTGAGCATCCGACTCTTGATTTGGGCTCAGGTCATAGTCTCAGGGTCGTGGGATCGAGCCCCATGTCGGGCTCCCTGCTCAGCTCTGAGTTTGTGTCTCCCTCTCCCTCTGTCCCCTCCCCCCCGCCCAGCTCATGCTCATGCACACTCCTTCCCTCTCAAATAAATAAATAAAATCATTTAACAAATGTGAAATTTTTCTGACTTCTTTACGTTGGCAGAAAGTTCAAATTTAAAACATTGTGCCTATCCAATGGGACCTCCAGTTTAAGACTTCTGGTCTTACACATATTTGCTTCATAACTTCATAACATCATCATGGTGACACCCAACCCAAGGCCTTGTAAAGGTCTGTTTCTCACAGGAGGCCGTGAGCACCCCCACCTGAGTGCAGGGCCCCCTTTTCCTCTTGTCTTTGTTTCCTGGTATCCCGCAGAGGAAGGGGAGGGAAGTGGTGCACAGAATTTTTTTGCACCAGATGTCCAGGGTTTGGATTCTGTGTGACCTTGGACAAGTACCTTAATCTCCCAGAGACTCAATTTCCTCCTCTGTAGGATGGGACAGTGTGTGCTGTGGGAGCACGTGAGGACTGCAAGAAACATACTTAAAACAAGTTCTGGCAGGTAGTGGGGCCGTCACTGAAGGTTGGCTGTTACTGTTATGTTTCTTTGTAAGTGTGTGTTCCTTATTTTCCTTGCCACTGTGGTCCCTGAGCTGCTGGGATTGTGTAATAAAATAGACGTGAAAATATATCTTTAAACTTCTTCACGGAAAGTATTACTTTTTTCATGCTCCATCAGCCCTTGTCGCGGTTGTCACTTCCAATGCTATGGGACGGCAGCCCCGGACAGCTGGGGGTGGGCCTGGCACTCCCAGCAGAGTCCTAGTGATCTCCTCGGGGACCTAAACCCCCTCACTTATTATCTGCCCCTCATCGGCAGAATAATGCCTGCATTCCAAAGCGCTCTCTGTCCCAGTCCCCGAAACCTGGGGTATGTGACCTTACACGGCAAAAGGAACTTTGCAAGTGTGGTTAAACTGAAGCTTTTCAGATGTGGCGATTATCCTGGATTATCCAGGGGTTAGGGATGAATTGTGTCCCCCCACCCACCCCTGCCAGCTCCACTCCCAGCAAAAGATACATTGCAGTCCTAACCCCCAGTACCTCAGAATGGAGCCTCAGCTGGAAATAGGCCACTGCAGATGTAGTGAGTTACGATGAGGTCCTTATGGGAAGATGGTCTCACAAAGACAGAGACACACAAGGGACCGCCATGTGATGACAAAGACAGACAGTGAGACAACACATCTACAGCGGGGGAATGCCGCAGACACTGGCAAGCCACCAGCTGCTAAGCTAGGCAGAGCCCGGGGAGGGGGGCCTGCAGGGTCAGGAGGAGCGTGGTCCTGTGGACAAACCGATCTCAGACTTCCGGCCTCCGTAACTATGCGAGAACACATTTCTGTTGTTTGAAGCCACCCAGCCTGTGGCATTTTGCTGTGGCGGCCCCAGCAAACTAAGGGACTGGCGGAAACCCCTGTAGCCACAGGGGCCCTTCCCAAGACAGAAGAGAGTCAGAGAAGAGAGGACAGAAGCACAATTGGTGTGATGTGGGTCACCTGCCAGGAGAGGCGGGCGCCCCTGGAAGCTGGGACAGGCAAGGACTTGGATTCTCCCCATGAGCCTCCGGAAGAGAAGGCAGCCCCACCAACACCTTGATCTCAGCCCCGTGAGACCCATCTCAGACTTCCGGTTCCCCAGACTGTGAGACAGGACGTGTGTGTGTGTTGTTTCAGGAGACCGCGTCTGCGGTGACCTGTCACAGCAGTGCCAGAATTACACCCCCGCCCTCCGTCCTCTGCCCTCTTCCTCCTATTCTGCGATTGGCCTTCCGTCCTGGAGATGTGGCGCCTTCCCATGCGCAAGCAGGAGAAAAGCAATACGGTCGCATAGATAAGGCCATGTCTCCTCTTCCTCTCGTCCACGAGATTCTGCGGAGAACAAACCTTGTCCTCGTGCGTCCCTCGGCAGGACACAGTGAGGGGACACTGCGTATTGTCTCGCTGCGCTGTGATTGATTTCAGTGTGTGTCGGAGGAGGCACATCGGCCTCCCGGCTTTTCAGATGTTCTGCTCAGGGGGAGCCTACGGTGTGCACAGAGGTTCCAGAAAGGGCTGACAAAGGAGGAGACCCCCCAACAGCAGCGCCCACCACCGCAGAGAGCTGCCCACGGAACACAACGGGCCAGCCTACGTCTGCTTCATCCGTCCCGGCTCCCCACACCTTCGCAGCTCGTCTTGACGGTTCTAGCCCTGACGTTACCGCCTCACTCCTGTATTTTTTCAAAAGTCACTAGGAACGAAAATAAATGTGACAAGGCTGCGTGCTGTCACTTGGAGAGGAAGCGAGGTCATGCAACGGGGTTTGGGCCCCGGGGCCTGGTGCGTAACACATGAACGATAACCTTCAGCCCCACGTTAGTTTTGTTCGTTTGTTTCAGTGTTTCTCTCCTGAAAACTGAGGGACTTGCAAAGGCATTTCTGACTCTTCCACTGAGCCCTTGGGGGTCATCAAGGCAGGGGGAGCTTTCCTGTTGGGACCCGACCCTTTCCTCCAGCTGGAGCCAGTTACATAGTTACGGATTATCAGCGTGCTTTTCAGTTGATGACGTTTCTGCCATGGGACAGTTGGAGAGACACCAGAGTTGTACTCACAACCAAGAGGGAGGCTGTCATGATGTACAGAACAGACTTGAAAGAGAATGCCTGACCCGGCCACTTCCCAGCTGTGTGACCTTAGGTAAATTACTCAACCTCTCTGTGCTTTGGTTCCTTTATCTGTCATATTACCGCATGGGGTTGTTAGTATGTGCAGAGTACATGCGGAGCTCTTAGATGACCGCCTGGGACCTAAAACTGTGCATCTTCAGGATTTTCCCCAGAAGGAAGAGTCCATGTTTCTCAGAGCTATGTGGTATTACCTTGTGGTGGATGTAAATTAGAATACTACCAACAGGGACGCCTGGGTGGCTCAGTTGGTTAAGAGTCTGCCTTTGGGTCAGGTCATGATCCCAGGGTCTTGGGATCGAGTCTCGAGTTGGGCTCCCTGCCCAGCGGGGAGCCTGCTTCCCCCTTAGCCCCTCCCTTTGCTTGTGCTCTCTCTCTCTCTCTCTCTCTCTCTCTTTCTCCCTCAAAATAAATACATGGAGGGGGAGCCTGGGTGGCTCAGTGGGTTAAAGCCTCTGCTTTCAGCTTAGGTCATGATCCCAGGGTCCTGGGATCGAGTCCCACATCAGGCTCTCTGCTCAGCAGGGAGACTGCTTCCCTTCCTCTCTTTCTGTCTGCCTCTCTGCCTACTTGTGACCTCTGTCAAATAAATAAATAAATAATCTTCAAAAAAAAAAAAAAAGGCTTATGACCAACATCCTAATCTGAGGTGGTGGAGAGGAGCACAGGGCCAGGATTTGAGCCATGAGCCGATGGGAGAAATGAGCCTGGCCGACGAGTGACA